CGGAGTCTCACTCTGTTGCCAGGCTGGAGTGCAAAGGTGCAATCTCGGCTCACTACAACCTCTGCCTCCCAGGTTCAAGCGATTCTCCTGCCTCAGCCTCCCGAGTAGCTGGGAGTACAGGTGTGCACCACCATACCCAACTAATCTTTGCATTTTTAGTAGAAACAGGGTTTCACCTTGTCGGCCAGGATGGTCTTGATCTCTTGATCTTGTGTTCAGCCTGCTGTGGCCTCCCAAAGTGCTGGGATTATAGGCGTGAGCCACCGTACTCAGCCCACTACCAATATTTTTAAGATTAAAACAAAACCAAACCCTGAGGCTCAGAGAAGTCTGCAAATGTCCCTAGCCACTTGGTTAATTAATTAACAGCAGACCGAGGACAGGCACTACAGTCTCTTGCCTCCAAGGCCACATCCTCTGTGCTGGATCTTGCTGCAGCTCTTCATCTTAAGGGGAACTTCCTGGGTGTGGGGCCTGTAGGCACCAGCAAAACCACCATACAAGAGGCCTTTGTTCATGTGCAAACAAAACTCTCTCCTGGATTCAAGTGTGCCCAGTACTGGGCAATAAACATCTCAAACCAGGAGCACAGAATTGTTCTCTGCTCCCCTTCCCACCTCAGGCAACTTAATCCTAAAATTTCAGTTTTGCTGGCTCTTCACACCAACAGTGGAAAAGCTGCAGCATCCTAAACTGCTGTCTCATAAGAGAAAGAGGAAAGGAAAAGAAAGGACCACTCACTTGTTCAACCACATAAAATGCAAACTGCAGGCGCTGGCGCTGAAGCATGGGAATCAGGTGTCTGAACAGGACTGGGAGGTGCTCGTGGCGGTTCCGAAAGGGGATAAGGATCGCCACCTGGAGTGCATCACAGCAAAAGCAGCACAGTTAGGACTCTCAACTTTCACTCCTTAACAGGACCACCCTGCAGAATTGGTGACCAACCCACAGGAGTTCTTGGAGGCTGGCTATCTTGTCCTCAGCTTCCTCTAAACAAAGACCTATGTTGGCAAGTCAGCCCTTAGGCCTAGATGAATGTTATTCTTACATATACCGTATCTTATAGTACATAGTAGGCCTGCAATTCATTCTAGGCCATAACTCATAGGAAAAAACACATTCTACCCTGTGACAAAAATACATCTATAAACTTAAAACAAGCTTCACAAAACGTGAAAAAGGAAAAGTATTTTTCCTTACAACGTGCAATGTACAAATGCTGGTTATTAAATTGTTTTTATATCCCTGCGATGGGTTGGATACTGATCTGTTCCAGATACGCCTTGATCACTGCTGCATCACCAGCATGTAACTGGCTGGCACAGAATAAGCATTTTAATAGATATCTGTTGAAAGAATGGACTTAAGCCGGGGTCACAGCTTCTATGGTCAGGCAGAAAAAAAACGAAATCTCAGTGTCAAGCCAGATAACTTTGCTTTTTAATCCAGTAACCTGGTAGTAACCAATGGAGAACAGGCACGAAGCACTGACTCTGTGCAGATGACTTCTGCAAATGGGTGGGTAGAGACCACCAACGCCCTCATCCCCTTGTTAATACTCCTGGCAGGAAGACCTAAGGGTCCTGCTTGGTCATCAGAGTAACGTAAATTTCTGTGTCTACAAAAGAGTCCTTGTGGGAACCCATTCCTCCAAAATGTTTCTACACAACGCAAAGACTTTGCATGAGGGGTAGGAGGTAGGATAAAAATGACAAAACGTCATGGTTAGCTAATTCCACAGTGATTCAGACCAAAGGCAACACCCAGGTGGGCTTCTCAGCATTTTGGGTCTGACTTCACACCCTACCTTCCACCGAGGCATGCAATCAGAAGGCTTCCAGTGACCTCCGAGCTTGATGGTTGGGTCTTTGGAGAAGAGTTCATGGATGTAATCCATTCCAATTTCACTCATGTTTACGTCTATTGGGCCCTCTGAACAGAGAGAGGAAAAAGGGATTAAGAAGTCAGAAAATGGTAAGTTTTCCTCTGCCTGAGGTTTTAGTCTCTGGAGAAATGCAATGCTTTTTCAGCAGAATGTGTTTTTAGCAGGGATGGAAGACTTTTCCTCTACTTTCCATCTCACTGCATTATAGTTCCTCACTATTATCAAGGTAAAGAGGCAAATCAAGGAATTAAGGCTTTAGAGTTCTGCTTCTGTCAGGGGCAAGAAATGAATACTTTTAGCTGAGCTTTTTTCTTTTTTCAACAGAGTCTGACTTCTGTCGCCCAGGCTGAAGTACAGTGGTGTGACCTCAGCTCACTGCAACCTCCACCTCTGGGTGCAGGCAATTTTCCTGCCTCAGCCTCCTGAGTAGCTGGGATTACAGGCACACGCCACCTCGCCCAATTAATTTTTGTATTTTTAGTAGAGATGGGGTTTCACCTTGTTGGCCAGGCTGGTCTTGAACTCCTGACCTCAAGGGATCCACCCACCTTGGCCACCCAAAGTGCTGGGATTACAGGCATAAGCCACCGCACTCAGCCTTCTCTTTTTTTTCCAGTTTATTAATATGTTTTAATAAATAGAGACGGAGTCTCACTATGTTGCCCGGGTTGGTCTCAAACTCCTGGGCTCCAGCGATTCTCCCAACTCGGCCTCCCAAACTCCTGGGATTATAGGCCTGAGCCCCTGCACCTGGCTGCAGCTGAGCTTTTCTGAGAAGGAGAAATGCAGCTGAGCTTAGAGTCATGTCAGTTTGCTCCTGAGGCAAGTACAGACACACTACCTCTCTCAATCCATTCACCAGTGGCTCAGGACCCTGACTGATTATGTCCAAACTCACAATGCTGGTCATCGCTGACTTAAGTCAGGAAGTGGTACAATAACAATCTATAAATGCTACTGAAACAATGAACTGTGATAACATTAATTTTAGGTCTGTCAAAGCCTATTTCTGATACACAAATCTTAGCCTTCCCAAACTAAGCTTATATCTAGATGCAGACAAACGCAGGTTTTAAAGGGAAAACCTATATATGTGTGGTGAGACATGCAAATTAAACAGTAAGACTTCCAGCACAACTTATATACTCATAATTAATTATTCATATATGGATGAGAATATGTTCAAATACCATGCAAGACTATTTCTAACACTTTCTCTATTTTCACTACGTTTGAGCATAAAAGTCAACTTTGTAAGATTTTCCTTTTCTTGATCTCATTTCTTAAAAAAAGTTTTAAAAAAAGAAATGGGGAACTATCTAAGCAGCCTAAAAACATAGGAAAGGTAAAAGAGTTTACTGTCCTTATTTTAGCTTACACGAGATTCAAAAACAGAACAAAAGATCTAAGAATTTTTTAAACCAGCACTTTGTTAAGAAAATAACTTCCAAGCAAGGCATGGTGGCTCATGCCTGTAGTCCCAGCTACTCAGGAGGCTGAGCAGGAGGATTGCTTGAGCCCTGAAGTTCGAGACCATCCTGGGCAACACAGTGAGACCCCCATCTCTAAGATCAAGCACTATAGTCAGCGGGAGATTTATACTAAAAAGACAAAAGCTGATTGCCTATACAGTCATGTGCACTGACATTTTCACCAGTGATAGATGGCATATATGGTGGTCGCATGAGATTACAATGGAGTTGAAAAATTCCTATTGCCTAGTGATGACATAGCTGCCATAACACTGTTGTGTTACTCAAGTGTTTCTGGTGATGCTAGTATAAACAAATCTACAGCACTGCCAATCATATAAAAGTATAACACAAGGCTGGCAGCGGTGGCTCACACCTGTAATCCCAGCACTTTGGGAGGCTGAGGCAGGCGAATCGCTTGAGGCCAGGAGTTCGAGACCAGCCTGGCCAACATAATGAAACCCTAACTCTACTAAAAATATAAAAATTAGCTAGGCATTGTGGCGGGGGCCTGTAATCCCAGCTACTCCGGAGGCTGAAGCAGTAGAATCACTTGAACCCAAGTGACAGAGGTTGCAGTGAGCTGAGACCACGCCACTTAACTCTAGCCTGGGCAACAAAAGCAAAATTCTGTGTCCTCCCCAAAAAAAGGTATGCACATACAGTTATTAGAGTACATCATACTTGATAACGATAATAAACTATGTTACTGGTTTATATATTTATTTTATATTTTTAAATCATTATTTTACCCTTTGAGACAGGGTCATGCTCTGTTGCCCAGGCTGGAGTGTAGTGGCATAATCATGGCACACTGCAGCCTGTTGTCTAGGCCTAGGTGGAAGGATTGTTTGAGGCCAGGAGTTCAAGACCAGCCTGGGCAACACAGTAACACCCCATCTCTTAAAAAATAATTTAAAAATTAGCCAGGCATGTCAACACACACTTGTAGTCCTAGCTACTGAAGAGGCTGAGGCGGGAGGATTACTTGAGCCCAGCAGTTTGAGGCTGCAGTTTTTTAAAACTTTTTATAAACTTCTTAAAAGTTAACAAGTTTATTAAGTCAAAAGGTATAATTGTAAGGTTAATCTTCATTAAAGAAAGAAAAGTATCTTCTGAATCGATTTAGTGTAGCCTAAGTGTTCAAGTCTACAGTAGTGCCAAGTCATGTCCCAGGCCTTCACATTCACATTCACTTCGCATCCACTCACACACTGACTCACCAAAGCAACGTCCATTCCTGTAAGCTCCATTCACGGTAAGTGCCCTACACAGCTGTACCATTTTTTATCTTTTATACCTTATTTTTTATTGTACCTTTTCTATGTTTAGATACACAAATACTTACCATTGAGCTACAACTGCCGTATAGTACCATGCTGCACAAATCTGTAGCCTAGAGCAACGGGCCACACCATACAGCCTAGGAGTGAAGTAGGCTACATCACCTAGATTTGTGGAAGTATACTCTAGGAGGTTCCCACAACAATAAAATCACCTAATGATGCACTTCTCAGAAAGTCCCCTGATTGTGAAGCTATGAATGACTGTATTAATACTTTCTCTAGGAAGTTCAAAGAGAGCCCAAGTTACAAAGGACAAGCAAGTGCAAAACAAAGAGTGAAAAGGCAGAAAATGGAACCCAAGAACACAGGCAACCTCGCAGCAGGCTTTGAGGAGCCAGGAGCACAAATGACTTGCACAGACTCTGTTTCCAATGGCAGGGAGGTATTTATATTCTCTGTATAGGTAGACAAAGAGATCAAGAGTGCATTCCCCTTTATCCATTTTAAAAGCAGAGGAAGATGGGCTGGAGCTGTACTCACTCATGGAAGGGAGCCTTTCAGGGCAGGTATGGTTTGCAAAGTAGGTGAAGTCTTCAGGAAGAAATGTTGTAGTTTGAAGGAAGGTTTCACTGTGGTTTAAGTCAAGAGGATAATCTAGGGAGGTAAAGGAAAAAAGGCAACTCAGACTGGTATGTGTAACCAACCGTGCAATTATTAGATGCCTACCAAACTAGTCTTTTTCTTAGCTGTCATCTTGGTGGAAAGAGACAGGACTCTGGGCTACCGCTTTGATGCAGCCGAAAATGTGAACTCATCAATAAAAATGGTAACCAAATGACACATTTTAACCTGTGCTCCTATTCCTGTTGATTTTACAGGTTTACATGCACTCAGTTTACAGTCAACTGTAATTAAACATCATTTTAAAAATAGCAATCTCCCTCCTCTCATTTCTTATTTTCTTTTTCTTTCTTTTTTTTTTTTTTNGCTCAGGCTGGAGTGCAGTGGTACAATCTCTGCTCACTGCAATCTCCGCCCTCTGGATTCAAGAGATTCTCCTGCCTCAGCCTCCCGAGTAGCTGGGATTGCAGGCACCCACTACCACACCTGGATAATTTTTGTATTTTTTTTAAAGACAGGGTTTCGCCATGTTGGACAGGCTGGTTTTGACTCCTGACCTCAAGTGATCCACCTGCCTTGGCCTCCCAAAGTGCTGGGATTACAGGCGTGAGCCACCACGCCCGACCTCATTTCTTATTTTCTAAAGGAACCATGTGACCTTCTTTTGACCAAGAATTTTAGCATTTATAGCAGTATTCACCTCTGTCAGCCCGTACGACTGGTCATGATGCTTCTGTTTTCAGTCTTATCTACTGGCTTCCCACTATGGGAGGTGAAGACGTTATTTCCTTCCTCCTGCCACCATTGCCACATGACCCCTTTCCATTCCCCAGTCTCCCAACAGTCACATATCATAGCTGTGGTTAGGACAATCTTCAGTCTTTGTATTACGATGCTGCTGTAAGTACTAGTCATAGCTGAGATATGTGGGAAGTTATGCATCCTGTTTCTGTTTGCTCAGTTTTATATGCAATGATTCTAATTCAACACCACACCTTTCACCAAGACATTTCCTCCTAATACACGCATTAGGTATTCTCTCAACTTCATCCACCCAGAGGAGGTGTGGCAGCTTCTGGCTTTCTTCCATGCCAAATGTGCAGAAGCCACCTCCCTTGCACCCCGCCACCAGAGCCCTGAAGACTGCCATCGCCTATCCAAGACAGTACTAAATCTCACTGTCCCTAAGTTCTCACTTTTCCCTTCTTTTTGCTTGGGTAGCACATCATCCAAATAGCATCCTAAGAAGGGGGAATGAGGCAGTTCGGGCGGCGGGAGGAGTAGCAGCTGCCAGCCAGCCCAGCTTTGCAAAGGCTTTCCGTGCGCTGTGGCCCACAGGCACCCAGCACGCGCCTCCCCACCACCAGGATGCCCAAAAGGAAGGTCAGCTCCGCTGAAGGGGCTGCCAAGGAAGAGCCCAAGAGGAGATCTGCGCAGTTGTCAGCGAAACCTCCTGCAAAAGTGGAAGCAAAGCCGAAAAAGGCAGCAGCAAAGGATAAATCTTCAGACAAAAAAGTGCAAACAAAAGGGAAAAGGGGAGCAAAGGGAAAACAGGCTGAAGTGGCTAACCAAGAAACCAAAGATTTACCTGCAGAAAATGGGGAAAAGAAAACTGAGAGTCTAGCCTCTGATGAAGCAGGAGAGAAAGAAGCCAAGTCTGATTAATACCATATATCATGTCTCTCAGTGGTCCCTGTCTCCCTTCTTGTACAATCCAGAGGAATATTTTTATCAACTATTTTGTAAATGCAAGTTTTTCGTAGCTTTAGAAACACTTTTTAGCAGGAGGGAATCCCACCTCATCTCATTTTTTTAAGTGTAAATGCTTTTTTTTAAGAGGTGAAATCATTTGCTGGTTGTTTATTTTTTGGTACAACCAGAAAACAGTGTGGAATATTGAATTATGGGAGACTTTGTCTCGGGTGTCAGCTTAACATTCCATAGATGGGGGTTCGTTTTTATATCCTATAATACAAAGCATATTAAATGGCAATATGGAGTCAGTCCTGCATTTAATGTCTTGAATATTTTAAATTACTTCCATTCCCATGTTGCTTTTTAGTAGAATTGTTTCCTAAAGAAAATCACTCTGATCCTGGCTCTGTCAGAACTGTGTGCACTCTGTAACATCTTTAGTGTGGTAGTCCTGTTTTCCTAATAACTTTGTTACTGTGCCATGAGAGTAAACATTTGAATAAGTAGTGTACATGCTATTCAGCTATGAATTGCTGGGACGTATGTTACAGCTTATCAACATGTGAAGATACAGGTACATGATAGTCAGTCTCTTAAGGAAAATCTGCTTCCAAATTTTAAGCTGGAAAGTCACTGGAATAACTTTAGAAAAGAATTACAATACATGGCTTTTTAGATTTTTGTTATATATGTTAAGAATTGTATACAAATTGAAATGTCTGTACTGATCCTCAACCAATAAAATCTGAATTATGAAATTTAAAAAAAAAGAAAGGGGAATGAGTATGACTTTGAAACCTTACATATCTGGATATAGTTTTTGCTCTTCTTCGCTTGATTCATAGTTCTTGGGTTTATAGAGTTCGAGGCTAGCAATTCTGCACAACTGTAAAGATGCTATCCCACTGCCTTCTAGATTGCACTGTGGCTATTAAGTCTGAAGCCATTCAATTTCTGATCTTTGTAAACAACCAATAATTTCATGCTAGAAATGCGAAGGACTTTCTCTTTGGTCAGGAAATGTCACGTTGGTGTGCCTTGCTGGGAGTCTGCTTTCGCCTGCGGTGCTAGCCATTCGGTGGGCCTTTAGTTTGCTAATTCGTGTCTTTCTGTTCTGGAATGTTTGGGGGGAGGAATGGATATTCTCTCAGTGATGATTCCTCCCTTCTGTGCTCTGTGCTGTCTTTCTGGAGAATACAGAACAGGAATTGGATATGGGACCTCCTGGTAATGTAACTACCTCATATTTTCCATCTACTTTTCCATCTTGCCATTTATCTGCTCTACGTTCCGTATTTCCTCAACTTTACTCAATCCTTCCTTTAATCATCATCTCTGCTATCATATTTTTAATTTTGAAGAGCTCTTGTTTTCTGAATGTTTATTTCTTACAATATTCTTGTTTTATGTTTGCAATCATTTTTCTCCTCTTTTATTGAACTCTCCAGTGTCAACATCGTTGGGTCTTTCCTCATGGTCTGATCAGATTCCCCAGATAAATCCACTCAAATCTCCTGAGAGAATGGTAGAGTCCTGACTATAAACATCGGGAAACCAAGAAGGAAGAGAAAGAAGCTGGGGCATATGTAATCCCCATCTTTTGAGACACTGTGGTCATGCCAGGTATCCTCAGGTTGAGGAGCCTCTGTTTTGCCATCTCTAGGGTTATTAAGCCTCCAGCTCTTGCCAGGATGGGGAGATGGGTGTGGGTACCTGACTGCTTTTTAATAGCTTTCAAACCCTCTTTATATTAGTTGTCACTTTTGTTCCTACTTCCAATATTGCTAGTTCCTGAGCTTCTGGGGGATTCTGGGGTGGATGCTGGTTTTCCCGTTGCTGCTTTGAGCAGTCAGTCTTCTTGGGTTTGTTAAGTCCTTTATCAGTGGTTCTTCTGCTTTCTACCTAGCAAGATTTTTTTGCTGTGGTCTCCTTTCCTGTTCTCATCCTCAAGAGTTTATGCCATTAGAAAAACATAAACATATGCCCCTTTAGAGTCCTGTTGGTGGATATGAAGAGTGTGAAGGCAGACGTCTTTCCTTAGGGGGCTGTAGTTGTAGAGCAGGAAGAGGGCCTTCCAGCTTTAGTTTTTACAGATGAACGACTGGAACAACATACACAGAACTCGGACCAGGAGCCCTGGCTAACGCATGACAGAGCTCCAACTACACTCTGGATTAGAGATCTTTCCAGTATTCTGTACTGTTTGTTTTTTTTTTTTCTTCCCACAGAATATTAAATCCTTTTGGATTCATGCTGATTCCATGAAAATTAAAACATCCTGTTCAAATTCACTTTGTACCCTAGAATTCTAGAATCTTCAACTAAGATATTTTTTAAAAAGCACTAGGAGCAGGTTTCCAAGAATCAAATGGCTAACACATTGAATCCTTTTTATATGCACACGGCTGCCTACTCTGAGCTGCCTACTCTGCAAGTACTCTGGAAACAAAATTCAATGAGAGACAACTTGAGAATTTTAAGTGTCTTAACAAGTGAAGGAACAGAATGCTTTCTGTCCTTTTTAGTAGTAGCTTTCCTGAAAAACACTAAGCCTACATTTATAGAGAATAGTAGAGGCTAATTTATATAGACATAAACCAGGCTGGGTGTGGTAGCTCATGCCTATAATCCCAGCACTTTGGGAGGCTGAGGCAGGAGGATCGCCTGAGACCAGGAGGCCAAGACCAGCCTGGGAAACATGTTGGCAACCTGTCTCTACAGATAATTTAAAAAATTAGCCGGGCGTGGTAGTGCATGCCTGTGGTCCCAGCTACTTGGGAGGCTGAGGCAGGAAGATCACCTGAGCCTGGGAGGTTGAGGCTGCAGTGGGCCATGATCACACCACTGCACTCTAGCCTGGGTGACAGAGTAAGATCCTATCTTAAAAAAGCAAACCAAACAACAACAACAACAAAAAAAAACAAAAAACAAAAACCCATGAACCAAGACAGAACCTTAAAGGTAATATTTTAAACGGAAATTATTTGAGCTCAGCTCATACATGCAAACCTGGCCTGGGTTGAACCTTCTTCTGAAGGTAGTAACTACTTCAAAAATCTATGTGAAGAATCCCTCATCCTAATTAGTACTCTGGATGAATCTAATCCATGAAATTATTCTCCTTAAGAAAAAAATGAAAAGACCTCACAAGTACTAGAAAATGTGCCTGTGCTTGTGATACGCCCATGTGTGGCAGGAGAAGATGGCTGGAAACAGTGGCACAGTCAATATATTCAATAGAAGGCAATGAAATTCCCAAAGGTATCACACTAAGTCTTTTCATAAATAAATCAACAAAAACGAGGACAATCAGCATTCTGGTCAATGACTGACCCAAGCCCTAGAGCTAGAACCTAACCAGGAAACTAGAATTTAAAAAACATGAGACAAGAGACAAAGTATCTCTAACTCTAATGATTCTACTATTTGGAGTTTGGAGAATCACTTAAACCAGGGAGGCGGAGGTTGCAGTGAGCCAAGATTGTGCCATTGCACTCCAGCCTGGGCAACAACAGCAAAACTACATCTCAATAAATAAATAAATACATACAACTAAATGAAAATTTAAATGACGTCTACTTGGGAAGCCAAGACAGGCAGATCACTTGAGGTCAGGAGTTCAAGACCAGCCTGGCCAATATGGTGAAACCCTGTCTCTACCAAAAAAACACGAAGAAGCCAGGTGTTGTGGCGGGTGCCTGTAATCCCAGCTACTCAGGAGGCTAGGACAGGAGAACCGCTTGAACCCAGGAGGCGGAGGTTGCAATGAGCCAAGATTGCACCACTGCACTCCAGCCTGGGCAACAGGAACAAAATTCTGTCTCAAATAAATAAATAAACAAATCAGTCTACTTTTCAGTAGCAACAGAAGCCTTTTTAAAATAAAAGAGAGAAAATTAATTGCTCATGACCTGGTAAAACTATGTGCAATTATGGTGAGGAGTCCCTGTTTTTCTCCACTGCTAGGTGTCCAGTAATGGTGGGGTTATACCGCATCCCCCTCAGAGTTCCAAACGTAACTTCTTACTCTTCTAAAGTATGTAACTACTGAATTAGGAAAATGCTGAGAGAAAAACAAGCCTGTTGAATTTCTATGGCCATTGTTTTACTTTTTAATTTAAATCTAATCCATTTCAAACCCAGACATGTTCTTGAAGGGCAAAGAAGACAGCTGCTTTTACATTTAGAAAATGGGAAAACAAGCCGGGCATAGTGGTTCACACCTGTAATCTCCGCATTTTGGGAGGCTGAAGTGAGTGGATCACTGAGGTCAGGAGTCCAAGACCAGCCTGACCAACACTGTGAAATCCCACTTCTACTAAAAGTACAAAAATTAGCCAGGCGTGGTGGCACGCACCTGTAGTCCCAGCTACTTGGTAGGCTGAGGCAGGAGAATCGCTTGAACCCAGGAGGTGGGGGTTGAAGTGAGCCGAGATCACGCCACTGCTCCAGCCTGGGCGACAGAGTG